AAGCATGAAGCTAAATAATAAAATAACATTAGCAAATACATCGAGAAAGTAATTAAGTAACGCGTCCTATAATAATTATTCAAAACGAAGTCCTTCCGCATCGATACACTTTTGACATCTTTTAATCAGGCTATTATAGGAACTCATCATGACATGACGAGGAAACACTTTTCATTCATTTAACGTAACAGTACCAGAATTTAACCATTATTTCTACTAAAACCGCCAGTAGCGTATTTTTTTCTTGGGAAAACGCAGCGGCACCTTTAGTAGCACGCCACTGGTTAATATCACAAGGTTAATATTGCATAAGGTCTAATTAAGTGAACACTCTGTAGGAAATTTCATTCAAATCGTTCAGCGCAATATGAAGATATGACAGAAAATATAATTTTTTTTTGGAATCTTGAGCACTCTGTATCTCGCATACCACGCCCCCCAGGAAAAAAGTTTATTGAGCAAACTCTACTTATTTCTTGGCAACTAATCTATTCCTGCAGTTTCTGTATTTAAAGTGAAATCACCCTGTATATGTTTTTTGTATTAATTATATTTAGATGTATCGTTTTTAGTTCTTATTTTGATTAATTATGGATATGTAGCCCATATAATAGTTATTTTTAGCAATATCAACAATCTTGTCTGTGACGCTAGATACCTTTTGCATACCTAGACTTCTGGTATCGAACATTGACTTCATTTTGAGAAACAATTCTTGAATTTGTTTGAATAAGCTTAATAGCTTTACAATGGAGCAAAAATCTTTAACAAACATAGATAGTATGTAGATAAACAATTCAAAAAAGTGTGTAACTGCGTATAACAAGAATTCCAGCTTTCTCTCAAGCCTCATAAATTTGTAAGTGATTTGAATATCTAATGTAATAGAAATAACAAGGTGCAACAAAATATTCCTATTTAATAGGTACCACTACAGTGAATATAGGTAAGTACCGAGAAATTTGGAAGAAAACAAGAAAATACTTTGACAAAATGTACGAGTTTTCATTACAACGAAAATTTTGAAAACTAAAATTGAAGCATCTCTAACCTACTTACGAATACAAGTTTATAACAAAAAATTATAAAGAAAACAGAAGTCCTAAAATGCTGAAAGTCTTTGCGTTTACTTAATTATTTTTTTTAAGATGTTAATTAAAGAAAGTTAAGCAGCCTTATATAGATATATACCTATATACAGGGTGGTCCTTAAGTAATTGTACATAGAAGTATGGTAGATTTGTGACTTTAAAATATTACGATTTGAGCCAACTTGCCTTAATAAAATATTGATAATAAGAAAGATACAGTGTTAAAAGTGAAATTTCAAAATTTATTTTTCGCAATAACTTGAACGTTTTTGGACATTTATACAAAAAAAAATTAACTGGGGTTTTTTTGGTATGTTAAATCATAATTTGCTATCTAATTTAATGTATTTTTTGAGGGCGCCACATAAGCCACATGTGTGGCATAAATGTACGCTCAACTTTTTTGCCCATCAAGGTAGCGCTCTTTTGGGAAAAAAATATTAAAGGCACGGCATTGTAAGAACAAAAATGTATACTTGTTAACAACCTCTAAACTTAACGGTTTTCGAGATAATCGAATTTTAAAAATCGGCTGCATAATTCTTCTAATTCATTACGAGAAATATTAACGTAAACGTCGTATACGCTTATCATGTTTTTACATCAACAGGATGAATATTAACGTAATAGTAGCAGCTGACATCAAAAATTTAAAAATTTTAAAAAATTTTAAAAATTAAATAAAAAGTTTAATAATCATAATTAGAAATGAATTTTATACATATTAAGAAAAGAAATAACTAAGCTAACTAACATTACAAGTTTAATTATGTCAAAGAAGTGTTCGATATGTCCACCATTCTCTTCGATGCATTTATCCATACGTTCCATAAAAGATGGCCTCATATTAAATAACATGATTGGTCCAAAAGAAACTGCAGTTGCATTTATTTCTTCCCAAAGTTGGTTGCGAATATTTATGGGACTTTTATAAACAAGTTGTTTCATTGCGCCCCATTCGCCAAAATCGAGAGGATTAAAGTCTGGGCTACGTGCTGGCCAAGGTAAATTACTACCACGATCAATTCAGCGTTCAGGAAAGTTGATATTTAAATACGTTCTGACTTCTCTCATATAATAAGGAGGTGCACCATCTTGTATAATCCACATATTTTGCCTGAAATTTAGTGGAAATTCTTCCAAAAGATCAATGAAGTCATTTTGTAAAAAATGTAAGTAGTTCTCACCATTCAAAATATGCTGGAAATCGTATGGCCCTAAAAAATGGTCACCAATGATCCCACACCATACATTTATTTTGAATTCGTGTTGAAAATGTCTTTCTCTTTTAAAATGAGGATTTTCAATTTCCCAGATAAGATTATTTCTTAAATTAAAAATACCACGGCGACTAAATGTTACCTCGTCCGTAAATAATATTCTATTAATAAAGGTAGGTAGGGTTAAGATTTTGTCTATTTCGGATATCACTTGCAAATTGGTATCTTAATGGTAGATCTGCTGGCAATAAATTTTGCACAGGCGTAAAATGGTAGGGGTGATATTTATCGAGGTTTAGTCTTTTTAAAACTAAAGTTTTACTGATTCCTAAAGCTGAAGATAACCTTCTTGTACTAACTTGAAGATCATCTGCAACGTGAACCAATTTCATCTTCTTGATCAGGTTGCAGCCTGTTTGGATATCTTCTGAAATATTCCTATTTCGCAGCACGTCCGTTTAAATATTGCTGGCAGTAAATAGTAACCATATATGAGATATCGAGTAATATTAATGTTATAGGTACCTAGCTAAATTCTATAACCACAAATAAACGGAATTTCCTGTAAGGGGAAACGAAACTAGAATTTTTAAAAAACGATTTTCGTATAAATAGTTTAAACAATGCTTTACTGTGTCAGGAATATAGGAAAAATGTTTTAGTTGGTGGGAAAATCGTGAACATGAGTTTTTTCGAGGTATAGAGCGCATCCACTTGCTGAAAGCTGCAGGAGTGCTTGTAACTCGTGATAACGCGTGCTATAGTTAGCTATTATAGAGGCTAGATTGAGTCTAGGATAAAGCCGATAAAAAGAGGATGAAGAAAATGTCAATTTTGAAGGCCAAATATATGGCATCGCTGATTGAAGGCATATGCTGAATGACAACAAAAAATTTATAAATGTTTTTGAAATTTTGTATAGAGCTTCACATCGTAGGGATTTTTCGATTGATTAACAATTTTCAGTATTATTTTAAGAATTTAATGCAAAATTTTTCGTCTTCGATACTTCTCTTTTGAATGTTTTTTTGAACTAAATTAACAATTATATTTTTTTAATCTCTCTACGATGTTCACTAGTTTTTAGTATATAATATTAGAAAATTGTTGTGTTTTTGTTCCAAGACCATCCTTAATAACTTTTCCGGTCATACAGCCTTCTAAATAAAAGATGTAGTTGCTTGCCATCACCTACACCCGCCATTTTGAATCCAAATTGTTGGAAAAAATTCACAATAGGTCGCGAGTGCAGTGGAAAAAAGTTGTTTAATTATGAATCGTGTGCTCTCGAAGATTTATATCCTTACTACCTGAAAACATGTACAATATAGCCTTTTTTGTTCCTGGCATATCTTGCATAGATTTTTCCTTCAAAATTCCCGAAAATCTAATGTCTATAGAGTGACATTATCCCTTACCTAGGAGTAAATACTATAATGCCTTAATTAATTATGTAATTAAGGTATATGTCACTGAAAGGTTTCTGTTTATTCATGAATAAATTCAAGAAGCTCTTCATAAACCGAATTCACAAATTTCTTCATAAAGGGTTTGGTTTTACATTGTTTTAAACTTCGTGAACTTCTTTCAAACAAATATAACACTATACTTTCGAAAGTAAATACATTTTGATGAATATCTTGAAAAATCTTATTTTTTTATTATATATAACAGGAACAAATGTATCTCAACTTTGCATTACAAATCCAGTATCACTCTGTATACAAACATGTTGAAATAAATATGTAAACAATTTATTGTAGCATTTGTTGGTACTGAATTTCAAGGTAAAATTGATTAAATCCTTCATGGATAAAATCAGGAAGTTATTTGACAACGTATGCATTACACTTGTCTAACTTCTTCATGAAGCGATTTCGTGAACTAGTTCATGAAAAAATTTGCATTGTAAGAGCTAGGTAGGTATTTGAATATCGTAGTGACATCAACGCTGGCTTAAACAACGAACCCACTCAAAATTCTACAGCTGTTTAATATACCTAACCTTACGTCTATGATATTTAGGTATTGAGATATAATTCCAAGAAGACGCCTGCGCCACTTTCTTGGAATTAACCGCATTCGACACCCGGAGTAGAATGACACGGACGGAAAATTTCAAGGCACGCCCCTGCTGTGGTAAACTGTCACAGTATTTCCTATAGCAGAACTTTATTGGCTTAACTCTCAACAAATATCGTACCTAGGATAAAATTCTGAATTTAATTTTCTTTGTTTGTTTCTAAGTTGAAATTTGATTAAAAAAGAAACAACTTCGACATTGTTTTTTTAGTATAGAGAATTAATATTTTGTCCCCTTTCGGCATTTAAGTACTCACAAAAATTAAGAATGTGTTTGTTAACTTGTGCGTAAGTTCTAGATACTAACAGGTATGAGATTTGACGGCATCCCGAACATATAAATTTTGTTAAAATCTCTTATATTTATGAACATGGAGGGTTATTACAATAAAATTTATCTGAAAGAATATTTTGATCAGTATTTTCTCAATTGTCTTTATTTTAAGTTTGTTTTTTCAATTTTTCAAATTTTTTATCTCGGAAAGAAACAAAAAAAACGTTTTTTTAATTAAAAAATGAATCAAATTTCCTTAACACGCATTTGTTTTGACTTAAAAACACATTTACCGAGAAATCTAGCAATCCGCGATGCATTCCTTTGTCTTACCTGTTTGAAGATGCTTAAAAAAATATAAAATCACTTCCACCAAGATTCACTCAACTCAAACCAACACCACTCAACTGTCACTTAACAACAGACGATCAAAAAGCCACTCGACATCGCCTACTACGAAAAAGCTTGTTTATTCAGCGGCGGTTTTCAAAGCATCACTGGAAGCCGACGCCAAAGAGAGGCCGCGCTTTCCAAAGCGCGCCGAAGCTATCTAATAAACCGTATTGTTCTCGTGACGAGACTGATATCGAGTTTGTTGTTGTAGACGATGTGGTTTATGAATCCCTCCTACTCTTCGGCGACGCGTCCACGGACCGATCTTCCTCGTCCTTGTCGGCCGCAAGGGCTAGAACCGTTAACGCGAGTTGGCGGTGGCCGCGACGCGCGTCGGTTGTTCTATTGGTGGCCGGCTTGATCTCGCCGAACGGGAAAATTGGCGTTGCGATTTGTAGGCTGGTGACGTTAATTTGAAGATCAGTGAAGAAGCAGTGCTTCTGGTTTCAGTATTTACTTAAGTTTATAGAAAATTCTTCATATGAGAGTGTCGGTACCCAGAGGAAACGGTATAATTCTGAGAAATATAACTAAATTCATATTTTTAACAAGATTTGGTGTAATGAATGTAAAATTATTATTGTTTTTATTATTATTTTAATAGTGTATACAGTACGCGCCTAAAGTATGGAATAAATTCAGTAAAAACGAAACAATTTTTTTTTTAGGAAAAATCCTGGAACAGGTTGATTTTTAATTTAAAAAATACATATTTTAGCATAAAAGGCGATTTTCAACCGTCATTTGTTTTCGAGTAATGACGTCATCGACATTTTTTTTAAATAGCAACCCCCTATTTTTTTTTTGATTCTGAAAGATCGTTTCATTGTCGATCCGACAGTATTAAAATGTTGCCATCTTACATAGGAAAGTTTTCGAGTAAATGACGATTGAATGTTAGAAAACCCAAATCAATTAAAATAAAGCAAAAACGTTATCAAATTTAGTTTTTCGAAATGCCTGAAGTTTTTTATGGATCACGTAGGTGTAAATCTTTACAAAGTGTCACTGTCATACCGACTTTCTAAGTATTGTAAGCGATATAAAAATTATTGTTGAATTTAAAGTATTATGGCACATTTAACTGTCACACAAAGAATTGAAATTTTAATTCTTATCGGATGCGGGGATAAGACTAGAACGCAGCAGGAAGTTTGCGATTTATTTAATGAAAAACATCCAGATCGCCGTATCAGCCAATCAACAGTCAGTAAGATAGAATCTAAATTTAGAGAAACTGGCAATGTTGTAGATATTCCAAAACCTGGACGTCCAAGCGTTAGTGAAGATCACAAACAGAACATATTGATAAGTATGGTAGATAATCCTCATAATACTTCACGATTGGTTGCATTAAACAATGAAATTAGTCAGACCACAGTGCTACGTATCCTGAGGCAGGAAAAATATCGTCCCTACAAAATTCAACTTGTGCAGGAACTCAATGAAGACGATCCCGACCGCTGCTTACACTTTTGTGAAATTATGATGGATTCATGTCAAGTAAATAGAGATTTACACCGGCAAATACTTTTTTCAGACGAGGCCACGTTTTGTCTCAATAGTATAGTACAGTGAACCGTCAAACTTGCAGGTATTGGAGTCGGGAAAATCCTCATTGGATGGCAGAGACACATACCCAACACCCACAGAAATTAAATGTGGGGGCTGGAATAGTTGACAACAGAATAGTAGGGCCTTTCTTCTTTGAAGGAACCCTTACAGGAGAAAGATATTTAGAGTTTTTACAAAATGACCTTGTTCCAGCGCTTGCACTAATTTTTCCTAACGATAATGACCCTGATATTCCTGATGACACCATATTATGGTTTCAGCAAGACGGTGCACCTCCGTACTATGCGCGCCCTGTTCGAGATTTTCTGGACAATTGTTTTCCTAGGAGGTGGATCGGCAGACGAGGACCGATAGAATGATCCGCGAGATTCCTAGATCTTACACCCCTGGACTATTTCTTATGGGGCTACTTAAAGTTCAAAGTGTACGTTAATAGACAACATAATTTAGAAGAACTCCAAAATTGTATTATAGATGAAATACACAGTTACCCCAGAAATAATTCATAATGTGCAAGAAGAATTTCTACACAGACTTGCGTATTGTCAAGAAGTCGGTGCTTTCCTATGTAAGATGGCAACATTTTAATACTGTCGGATCGACAATGAAACGATCTTTCAGAATCAAGAAAAAAAATAGGGAGTTGCTATTTAAAAAAAATGTCGATGACGTCATTATTCGAAAACAAATGACGGTTGAAAATCGCTTTTTATTCTAAAATATGTATTTTTTAAATTAAAAATCGACCTGTTCAAGGATTTTCCCAAAAAAAAAAATTGTTTCGTTTTTACTAAATTTATTCCATACTTTAAGCGCGTACTGAATAGTCCTATAACCAATGTTCAACCCAAACATAAACTGTACAAAAAAATAACAGTAAAGTATTTAAGTCGTGGAAAAACGTATAAAGCCCTGAGCATATTAAGGATTTAGGGGTCATCTTTGACCCAAAATTAACCTTCTTTGCACATATTGCTGAATCTGTCACAGGGGCAACCAAAAACTTAGGTTTTATTTTTCAAAATAGTAAGGACTTTAAGAATATGCCTACATTACGTAGCTTTGTTAGACCCAAACCCAAGTTGGAGTACCTATGCCTCTGTGGTTTGGTCTTCCTATTATGATTGTTACATGACATCATTAGAAAAAGTGTAGAGGTTTCTTAAATCGGCTAGTTTCATCTTCTTGTTAGATGGGATCTATCCATATCTGGGATTTCCTCAATATTTTTTTTATAGGTTTGAGATGCATAATTTAATTAGGAGAAGGGTTATTTATGTACTCGATAATGTTCTTGTACAAAATTGTCAGCCACGATATTGATTGCATTGAGCTTATAACGCAAATAAATTACCGTGTTCCTCGAATAAATGCCAGATCAAATAGTTTGTTCAGTCTTCCTTCTTCCGCACAAACATGTTGCGGTGGTCTCCTTTACATCAAATGCTTTTTAATTGTCATAATGTGGAGAATAGTCTGAATATATTCAATAGTTCTATAGCACATATTAAAAGAATTTTCTATTCTCACGATTTAGTTTTCGGTTTTTAATTCCTTTTTTGTTTTTGTATTACTTATGTAGTTGTTTCTGTTATGTTTTTATGATGATTTTTAGATATACTAATTCTTATGAGACTTTACTATTTTGCTATTTATTGGTTGACTGACGTTGTTTCTGATTAACGTTTGTACCTACTATTTGGTAAATTTTTATTTTTTTACTTATTTTAAATTTTTCTGCTTCTTGTGTTTATGTGTATTTATTGTAGCTGTAGTATTCATCCTGTCATTGGGTTTCTCCCGTTGGGCAAATAAAAATTAAATAAAAAAATAAAAAATATAAAAGACATTTTACAAAATAAAGGCATATATAGGGTGTATCATCAATAAGCGCGAATTGAAACAGATGTAAGTACATGATACTAAAAGCACCGTTTTCTAGATATGGGGTGTCAAAAAAATATAACTTTTTTCAGTTTTTTGACGATGTTTCAGGAACCGTTTGAGAAACAGAACTCAAATTTATTATCATTAACATTAGCTACTTTTGAGAGTTAATTCAATTTTTGTTCATATGACAGTGGTGGAGATTTTAGGACTGCGTAAGGATTTTTCCCCCCAATTTTTACAACTCTGGGGAGTGGGCATTTTGAAAGAATATTTTAAACCGTCAGTATTTTTTACACAAAAACGACACGCATCATCAAAAGCTCTAACGCGAACCGTTTTCAAGATAAATGGTGTTTTATAAAGGAAAACATGAAAGAAAGTGGCAACATGATAAAAAAAACCAAGCAAATAAATAACAAAAATCACAGCAGTTGTTGAAAATGGCCTCCTTTTACGGTAATGCAGACTTCCGACCTTTCTTTCCTTCCCGGGTATACAATCTCCTGACAGACACATACCTAGATATATACCCAGATCGATCCAGTGTTTTCTTGAATCTATGCTTTGACACTTCGACTACCGCAGCTCCAATTACTGTGTTACTACATTTTAGAATACCTAACATAATCGTCTTACTGGTTAAGCCATATAGACTTAGAATTATATTAAGTATATGCTGACTTAGAATTTATATATTGTTACACATCAAAGTTTTTTCAACTAAATGTTATTTTTTTTTCGAATTGTTCCGTTACTTTTTCTAATTTTCTCGGGAAAAATAAATGTTTCTTTTCCGGAATTTTGGACACCTGTATTTGGACAGTCAATTTCGAAGATATAAAAAATAATGAATTTCTTTTAAACTTTATCATCGTCTACCTCGAAAAGAGAGCATTTTTGGAAAATATTCACATGAAGAACACGATTTTCAAAATTACTATCACACATGTTATTTCCGGGTCCGATGTAAATTTGACTTATCCTGTATAAAAGGGACCACAAACAAATAAAAAAACATTCGGCATTTTATATTAATTTCGTGGCACCAGCAGGCGATAGCGCCTAGGTTCATCCGTAATTAACATAAAATAAAAACAGTGATTACGCTGACATGCTATACACGAGTGAGTGAATAATTAAATAATTTAGGAGATGGAGGTTTTGGCGTACGAAGTTTTATCACATTTTTAATAAAATTATTGATTTAATTATAATAATTAAGTTGCCATGACAAAATGTCAACGTGACAACTGCTACAAGATAAATTATAGTTCGATAAAATTTCTATCCTGTGCCAATCATGCCGTGTAATTGATTTTAATAAAATCTTTTGCCCAGAAACTGTTAATTTTACAAAAAAATTACAAGAGACCATTTTTGTTTAGAATGAATAAGGCTATCTCCAATGAATTTTTAAATGATAAGGTAGTAGTAAGAAAAAAAGAAATAATTCTTAGGGGTGGCTTCTCGAAAGCAGAAAAAGTCTATTTAATATCATTTCTGTCACTTTTTTGTTATAACAGAAAAAAATTAAAAAGTACTTTGTTGGCACCCT